AAACCAGGATGGATTTTAAAGAACAGACTTACCTAATGCCCTTTTGCAGAATAGACTAAGCTTCCAAATAAGTTTCAAGGCACAGACACAGCTTTTTCTTCTTGTTATATTGCTTTGTCAATACTTACATTCTATCTATCATTTTGTGCTTTTAAATGCACTATTTATAGAATCTGCATAGTTTGCTCTTATATGTCAATGTTTGTAGCTCAAAATATACTCAAAGTATTTAAAAAGTTAGTTCCTGCTCTTAACTTATGAACTAAATGTGCTACACTTTCAGTCATTAAAATAGCAACTAAAATATTTTTCAGAACTCATAGCATAATGTAAATCTCTGAAGGATAATTTTTCATAGACCCTCTAATTAGAAAATACTTATAGACAAAGATGAATGTACATATATGGTAACTCATTATTTATTTGAATTTTCATTACATTGCTTCTCAAAAGGTGATTATTCGGATAATGATGTGGTTTTATTTTCTGTGCACACTCTCCTCCGATATCCACTTCACTCCCTGTTAGAGCTGATGTGCCTCCTGTCTTTAACTGAGGCCCAGAGATAACCTGTATTAGAGTGAACTGAAAAAGAAATGGCTTTAGCTGTGGGTTTAGCAAACCCCTGAGAATCTCCTTCCCTCCTGAGATAACAAGGTTGGACTTCCTGCCTTCAACCCATTGAACAGGTAGGATTGAGGATTCAATCAGAACTAAAACATACAGAGGGGGAAAAAAGCTTGTAGTGTGACTTCCCTTACCAAATTGAGTTGAATTTGGGAGGTAATTTTCATCATGTTAGCGAACTTTTTTCATAATAAAATCTAAACAAAGTACAAATTGTACTATTTAGAGAAAACAGACCAAAGCAGTGCTCTCTGTGGGGCTTTAATAATCATTCTTCAGGAATGTGAATGTGTGTATGATTTACAGAATTTGTATGCCAAGCAAAGAAGTATGTGAAAACAGCAAAGGAAAATGCATAAGCTGCAATAATAGTTTTGTGGTTTAGCTGGAAAATGTCCTATATCAACTGGGATAATGATTTTAGCTTTTCAATTGCACCCAAGATCATCTCCACTATTGATGAGGCCTGAGATGTCTGTAAAGAAGAGTCATTGCAATTGATTTATTTGTCTGGCAAACTTTTGGTCAGCATTTCACCATTACTTTGAAAATGACATTAACTACTTTATCTTTAAGACATTAGAAGAACAAACCACAGTGAAACTTGTATTGAACTTACCCTTACAGTAAAAATTCTTTTTTTTTAAAGGAGGTGAGATTTCTTTGTTTTTTTTAAGATTTTTTTTAATATGCATACAGAACTGGGGTACAGGCCAGAGGTGTGGAGGGTGAGAGGATTCACCAGAGACAGAGTGGGGAGCAGAACAGGCAGATTGACTGAAATACACTTCTGAGAGGAGCAGTGTGAGAGACGGGAGAGGTCTGCTGCACCATGTGGATCACCTCCAGGGCCAGGGATCGAACCCACACCAAAGCTGCTGTGGCTAGCTTCCTAGTGCTGTGTCCTAACCCATTGTGCCACCAGGGAGGGCCATACAGTTAAAATCCTAAGCGGTAATAATACAATATGCTTTCATGTGAAACATCAACATTTAAATCACAGATTAGCATTAAAAGTGTGACTTGAAATTGTAAAGTTTTACATTTCATCCTTCTATTTTCCCCTTTAAATTGAGCACAATTTGAAAGAATGAAAAAACATAAATTATTCAAGAGCTCTTCCTGTTGTTTTTAAGAGCCACAAGATTAAGATGACAGATCTTTTGACGAAGCAGAGTACTGAAAGTATCTACATATAATTGAATATAATAAAAACTGAACATAAATTTATTTTGATTATACAAATGTTAATACTCTTAATAGACTTTTTTTGAGAATTGGATACAAGTATATTGATTGAAAATGATCCACTCAATCAAGAAACGTTTATTGAATACATAAGTGACAGTAGTAAGCAGATGTGAATAAAACAAATATGACTCCTACCTTCTTAAAACTGAAAAAGGTAAAAGAGCTAACTAACACTTACATTGAATATTTACAATATGGAGTGCATGTACTATATTGAGTGGTTATTATATATCAAACGCTGCTCTATGTGATTTAATATATCACTTTATTTAATCCTCACAATAAATCTAAAAAGTAGGTACTATTATTCTCACTATTCAGAAGCATAGAAAAGTAATTTGTCCAAAACCCACTGCGGGGTAGCCAGGAATCAACCCAAGGAGTGTTTGTGTACGGACCACCTCTTATAGCTCCATAAATATTATTTAATCACCAATACAGACTTTTGAGGAAAATACTCATTATTTCAGTTTCTAGAAAAGGTGAAATAACTCACCAAAAGTGTACTGGCCACAATCCTACTACACTACATTGCTTTACTGGAAGATAGACAAATGTCAACAAGGTTCCACATTTAAGTCCTGAACCCCATTTGAACTCAGTGAAGTATTTTTCTTCAAATCAGATACTACCTTTGCTTCAACAAAGAAAGTCATATCGGAGAAGACATAATGTACTTGATCAATAGCTTCCCGCTAGTTACACAACCACATCCTTTACTAGAAGCATATCAGTGTCTTTTTGAGTCCTTCCATTAGCTTTTCTCCTGTACATGAAGTTCAAATAACACACTCAAATCTTGGAGGGCACACAGGGTGTATTTTCCTTCCCCTCATTAATGAACTTCTTCAATTTTGACATTTTTTTCTCTACATTTTGCTATCTGAGCTATGTGAATCAAACTTTAAATCACAGATTATCTCTGAAATACACTCACACCACTGCTTGTTCAGTTGCTTTGCTATGTCATTGCTACTTTTGGATAAAATGTTTTAGAATTTCATTCTGATTGCTAAGATTTGACACATCTTGAGCAGACAGTTGTATTAAATAAAAAATGTAGGGCTATAATGGTGCATATATATTTACATATCATATATGAGCACCATATTATATTTATATATGCATAAATAACATGCTACACACATACATATAAAATATTGTTTTGTGGGTATTTACTTGTCGATCTTCCCAGTAAAGCAATGCTGTATGATGTGGTGGTGGGATCTGGGTCCACCGTATTACATATAAATAAAATATGTTTATGTATATTAAGTATATTTTATTCATAAATTGTGGTCTTGAGCAAGGCAGTGTTTTCATTTAAGCATGAACATATATACATTTGTATGCATCAGAATACATTTGCTGGAAGACACAGGACAAGAACCTGAGCTACTGGCTCACATTTTGAATAAACTTGCTCCAACACAGGAAACAATCCTTGAGACTGATGGAGGAAGGAATGCAGGGGAGGCATCACAAGACTGAGTCACATAAAGGGATGGGTAGAAGGGGCTGGTGCAGCAACTGACACAACCATAAAATCAAGGTCAACCCGTGCTGGGATGCCCCTGGGATGCCTGAATATCTGAAGGAGTTTGAGCAGATAACAGACTGTTGGGGGCTGTGTTTGAAGCTCAAATCCAAAAGGTGGAAGATAAAGATAGGTGATGAAGCCTATCAGGAATCTCAGATTCTAATCAAAGACAACAAACCTAGGCTCATTGGGAGTGAGCCCTTCCCAGGGAGAGGCTGTCTATATCAGGGCAGTCTCTCCACCAGCACAGCACCAGGCAGATACTCCTCTGCCTACCTCTGCCTATGCAGGTGCTTCTTCCCTCTGCAGGGCAGCAGCGTTCTGCCTGCTGGTGACCTGTACCATGCTAGAACTTCTCTGCACTGACCTTCCTCAATGGAGTCCACTCTCCTAAGACCGCCCGCCTGCAGCCATGCAGGTCTCTTTCCCTGCAAACCTGTCCCTTTAGGGGCAGCTCTTTCTGCCTGCTTGCGGCTGTCTATGCAAGTGTCTTTTCCTCTCCTGTCTCTTTCTAATAAGCTTACTCTTTAAATATAACTGAGTTTCTGCCTCATGGAGAATCTCATCTAGTGCCTCTGAAAGGGGAGCTCTGGTGAAATCTTTCCCAGAGTGAACCCAAGGACCCTGAGCTCAAAAAATGACATCAAGACCATATTTAACTTTTAGAAGATAATAGGTATATTTTTGCAAGCAAAAAAAATTAGAACAGAAGAACACCATGGTGGGACTCACCAACTAGGTTATTACAGGACAAAATTAACGTTTTGATGACTTTCTATGAGCAATATACTTTTAATTTCTTGTTTTTAATGGCATTTTCCAGGTGTTTTTGAGGAATCTGCACGGTCAGGGATTCCAGCCTACATGATCCCAAAACCCTATGCTTTTTTCAAAACGCCATGTTGTACGAAGAGGCCTTTCCAGAAAGGTCTTTTCCCAGGCTTATAACAAATTTTCAACTCCTCTTTAGGTGGCAATTTGAAAGAGCAATACCATTATCTTTTATGCTGCTTCTAGACTTTTTAAAACAGGTTATTTTTCTCCTTAATAAGAAAAATACTAAGCAAAGAACAAATAGTTTTCCATAAAACTATTATGGAAACTAATATTATTTCCATAATATTTTAATAGAAAACTAATTGTTTTATGGAAAACAATTTCAAAATTTGTAGGGGAGATTACTATAACTTGAATAACGTGAATACAGTGAGAGACAGGGACCCTCAGGGTGCAGGGCAGAGCCTGCCTTCTGAATGCCTGTCCAGGGACTTCCTGACAGAAAAATTCCACATCTTTCTGAGCTCTCACTATCCAATACGCGCCACGTTTCCCATAGGACAACCCGGCACTTAGACCACGCCCACTAGTGCCTGTCAGGCAAAGTGCGACCTGCCCAACCACAGCAAGCCCCGCCCCCTACCGTCTCTGGTCCCGCCCCTCCCGCCACCGCCTTCCCACATTGGTTTAACTTACGCCTGCGCAGACCGGACCTGCGGCGTAAGCGGCTAGCACCCTGCGCTTGATTGGAAAGTTGGTTCTCTCATCCTATCCCTTTTTTTCAATCGCGCACTTAGCGAGAATTTGCTTCCGGGTGGAAGGGTTTACTTCCGGAGAGCGGGAAGGCTGAAACGCGGCGTCTAAGCTGGAGTAGGGTTTGCAAGGTTCTGGGTGGAGAAGGCTGCCGCTATGGACAGGTCAGTGCTGTGGGGAACAGCTGAGCCAAGACTTGTCCCTCCTGCTTGTTGGTGCAACGAAATAAGTGAAACCCGACTCCAAGAGGAAAACGCAGAGGGCCCAGGAGCTGACCCTAAGATTTCTTTGCTAGGCTGGAAGACAGCGGTTGATGGGAGGAAGAGAGGTGCTTGGGACTGGGAACGATGCGGTTAATAATATTTCTTGTGTTCCCACGCGGCTCTGCTAGCCATTCTAGGCTTTCGCACTTAATTCACTCCCGGGGTGGGCGGGGTGCGAGAGGTGGCCTGGTAGTTGACATGTTGACTCACCTACCCGAGATCATAAAAACAGTCAGTGATGCAATTCAGATCTCAGCCCAAATTTTCGGATTCCACGTTCCAGCATCAGGTAGTTATTGAATTGAGTTCTTTTTATGACCCTGTACGGTGCTAGTTGCCTGCGATGAAAATGAATTATTCAAAGTTCTTGGCTTCGCGCAATTCTTTGTAAAGGAGACAAGCTGACAGTACAAAGTGATAAGTGCTTTGTGTTGCTCTGTGGGAAAAAAAATGAGGAGCAATTAATTTTCCCTGTCGCAGCGGGTATCTGGAAGACCTCTCAAAAGAGGTTGCTTTTTAGTTGGTATTTGAGTGCTAATAGCCATCATTGAGTGCCTAAGCACCGCTTTGACTATTTTGTTAGCTAATTTAGTCATCATTACAATCTTATGGGGTGTTACTGTCATCCTCTTTTCATAGATAACACAGGTTAGAGGGTTTAGGAACTTGATCAAAAAGTTAGGAAGCTAAAAAAAAAACGAACCAAGTTTCCATCTATTGATAGATACGTGGGTCTCCAGCACTCAGAGCCTGCTTGGTAAGTGTTTACCGGGAAGACAGAGTACAGGTGGGCTGTGCTGAAAGAAACAGCATGTACAAAGGCTTCCAGGAATGAAAGTGTATGTCTTTGTATAGCTGAATGATCACCTGCACTAAATATTTCTTTAGGGGTGCTTTGTGGCTGACATAAGGCTGAACCTATGAATTTGAGGTCAGATTGTAAAAACTATACCAGGAAATTTGGATTTGACTCTGTAGGTCAGAGAGCTAGCTGAAGGTGTTTTCTTTTTAAATTTTATTTATTTATGCATACAGAAATGGGGTACAGGCCAGAGGTGCAGAAATAGAGTGGGGAGTAGAACAGGCATCTCGACAAAGTACACTGCTGAGGGGGGGCGAGACAGGAGTGGTCTTTTGTGCCCTGTGGCTCACATCCAGGGGGGGGATAGAACTCATGCTGAAGCGGCCTTGGCTTCGTTTAGCTTCCTAGTGCAGCACTACAACCTGCTGCACCGCCAGGGAGTGCCTAGCTGAAGGTTATATGTAGAGGAAAAAAATTACTTGTCATAAAACAAAAACCTGTTAATTCACACAATTTGGTGTTTAAACCATTGGAAATCTTGAGAAAGATTCTCAAACATTGTGACTATGGTAATACCAAGACACAGGAGACACCCTTAGAGTCTCTTTCTTTGTTCTGGAAAGAAGTAACTTGAAGGGTTATTTTAGTCCAATTTACTAGGATTCCTTTTTTACATAACCGACCATGCCACCAGGTCAAATAGCATTGTTTTTGTAGTATATATGGTCTGACATATTTGAAAAGTGCAATTTTTTTTTTAAGGGATACTTCGTGCACTTTTAGGAAACTCCTCAATCTTGTGTGGAGTTCACTATATTCTTCATGAAGCAATGCTCTAAAACAGTGTTTTCAGTGTAGATTCCAAGTGTTGAAATTTATTCTGTAAGAGAAAACAGCAGTGAGTGCTACAAAGTCAAAGAATTCTTTGTGCAGGTAAGATTTTGCAGGACTTAAAGAAGGATTTAGATCTGGAGTATATTGTCAACAAAAGGATAGAAATCTTGGCGACTGCAGTGATCTCTGTCTGCCTTGACAAAATTAGGGTCTATTTCTGATGGTAAAGTTCTTCATAAAGGCCACATTGTTTCATTTACATGGTACTGATGATGCTATTTCAGGAGCAGTTTTGGAGAGATGTCATCCCCTGTGGTGCGGGAGGCAGAAGTGACGAGGACTGCACGGAAACAGAGCGCTCAAAAAAGAGTTTTACGTATCCTTTGCATTTTAACCATCATCATAAAAAAATTTGCAACATTTTGCAGTCAGTATAAAATTCTCTTATGAGACACTTTAAACACTAGTTATAATAATTAAATGTAGAAATAAATTATTTTTAACTCCACAGGTGTGTTATTTGATAAATATATTGCTAAAATTTCCTCCCTAAAATTAGGAAATCACCATTTTACTGGTGATTACCAGTGTGGTTAGATTCTACTCAGATTAGATGACCTTTTTATATTTGAAATCCCAACTAAAGAGTAGTTCAGTGAGTAGTAATTCTGATACGTGACTATGTAAATGATAGAGGGGGTTATTTAATCGTTTTAATAGAAAAAACAATTGCTATCAAATACCTAGTTCTTGAAAAATGTATTAATGTATTTTGTATAGTGTAAATATGGTTTATACTAACTTTAATGGTGTCTTTTATGTTGGCAATTTTTCTTAACTCTTCCTACAGTTCGACCATCCCAGGATGAAATTTTTACTAATAGCACACCAAGAAACCAAGTTATACCTCAGACTCCTAGTTCATTTCGACCACCTTGTAAGATGTTTTTACTATTAAGGGTTTTTTTTTCTTTTAACAATATAATAGTTTGTTTTTACATTATTTTGTTCTTTTTTCCATCTCAGTTATAATCCCGTTGAGTATCCCATCACCAAATCACCCATGTGCCATCACCATAGTCCAGTGCTACTTAAAGTTTTTAATAATGATGATGAGAGCAACTAACACATCACACATTTGGTTATCATATCATGAACTAAAAACAAACTGAGTTATATTTGTTGAACTCTTAACCAGATGTAAGACACTGAACTTTACATAAATATATAGTAACTAAGATGTAAATATTAGATCTTTTTATTAAACTGAAAATGAGGTTTAAAAGGGTTAATTCATGCAGGTAGTATGTAAGGTAATGGAACCAATTTTCAAATACCTGCTTACTTAGACACCCATTTCTACTATATTATACTGCCTCCAGTGTGTTTTTAAAAATTAGTGTAGGAAGAATACAATGACCTATTAGTGTCCTTTTTTTCACTGCTCATTAATGTTCTAAGATGCTATAGCATCTTTATGTCAATAAAAATTCTTCCTAATAGACTAGTCTCAGAAACAAATTTAGAAAACTGTGACACAAATGGCAGTTGCTGCAAGGGGTTAGTAGTTCCACAACTGTTTGTTATCTTGTCTCTTTTATGTCACGAAAATGTTAATATTTAAGATAGTTATTAGTTGGAGCTAAATGAAAATTCAAAGTTATACTTACATACTTGTTTCACTTCCACAGTAAGTGCTCATGCATTTGGTATTCTTTTTACTCATTTCTTGTTTATAGTTACACCACCAAACCGGAGTTTACTGAGGCAGCCAGATGTTGCTTCCCTTCTTGGAACAGGAGGGAGGTCTCCTCGACTTACGCAGTCTTCTGGGTTCTTGGGAAATCTGTCTATGGTATGTAGGAAAATGGGCCTGATATTTTTTTTTCCTTTTATGAAAGTCTTAACATTTGCTTAAAATCTTCTTAATGAAAATTGAAATCATATTCATCAGGAATATAACTAGGTTCTGTTTCTTGGAATACTTTTTTGGTGAGACATCCAGAAAACTGAAGCCTTTAAACATCTCATGTCACAGTTGGTTGGTAGCTGTAACACCAGCAACATTTATATGCAGATACACTGTTTTAATCTGTCAGTTTTCTGCCCAGAAGAAATAAATTATGTGATTGATTGCTAGTAGGTATAAGAGCTGAGCTCTCTTTGACACATAGAAGAATAAGAAGAATAGGAAGCCAAACATGATTGATGGCAGCATATCTTCAGGAAGAGAGATAAGGAATTAAAAGGAAGATAAGGGAAAATTGGAGGGAAAGTAGGTAAGACACTCTTTACGAGTCACCATGGAACAATATTTATGATAGCATGAGAAAAAATGTAAATTGTGATGTACCATTAATGACTTGAACTAGGTGTTACAAAAACTTACAAAAAAAAAAAAGAAGAATCAGTTATGTCTAGTGGGACAGGAAGCAGGTGTTTTATTGGTGGAGTAGTTACGGAATACACAGTTCTAAAAACAAGATGAGAATAACTCCCCTGTGATTGGTTCTGTGCTTATTAAAGAGACTTTTACATGATGGAAATAAGGTGTTTCCTGAGAATGGTTTTGCATGTTAAACCTCTCCTTGTTTTTGAAGGTTGAACAGACCTTTAAAATATTTATTATAGTCTTGTGGATTTTAGTGTGTTAATACCTACCAGTGATTTAGTCAGTGAACAGTTTTACTCTGTTTATAAATCTAACTGATTTTGGCAGCATATCTTGTGTTACTTAAAAACATGAATTAGCTTCTGGATTTCAATAAAAGAAAATTTGTTCAGGAACTGTAAGATTTAATAGTAAAAGTGTTACTCCCTTAAAGGTCAAACTAGAGCTAATATGTATTATTAATTGTAAATTCATTTGAATCAAAGGTATTTTCTTGATTTGTTTTGCTAATTTTACTATTAACTATTAACTATGAAAGATAGTCTTGGATCTAAGTAAGTAAAATACTTATGAATGAGCTATTTACTTATTTTTAGAGCTGTGTATACCATGCCCTGAAAGAAGTAAAATGATTTGCTATATTCACCATTATGTCTGTCTATTGAGATTTATTGTGAACTAAAGTATTTTTCTGAATACAAAATGCCATTGCCTTATGAGATTTTCACTTTGTGTCTTGTACTAATGATAGATAACAGAAGAGAATGAGCTATTTACCTATTTTCCAGTAGCTGAAGCAAAACTGTTCTCAAGTCATAGTTCCTACCTCTTTGGCTCTTTCCCTTGGGGGAACTGATTTATAATGGTACATTTTTATGGCTTTTCAAGCGTGGATTTTTAAATAAAAGTGAAGTTTTACACTTTTATAGTGGATTTTTAAAATGTCTGAAATGCCAAGGTTAGGTGAGCCTCCATGTGTTCATTGACTGGCTTCAAGAGGTAGCAACACATGCTTGATCTTGTTTCCTATATACCTACGTGCACTTGATCTATGTTACTTCAGAGCTCTGATATTCTATGCCACTTACCCATAAATACTTCATTCAGCGCCAGCTGATACTTACACACTAACACTGCAAAATACATGATCTCTTCTGAACCTGCCCACACTCACTGAGTCTGAACTGTCACCTACAATAAAGCTTCATTTCTAACTCAACAAACTGCAGAAAAACCCACAGTGCACAGTGCTGTTTAACACATCTAACCCGTACACACAGCAATTCCTTTCTTCTTCTTATTATTATTATTATTTTAGATTTATTTATTTATTCATACAGAACGGGGGTACAGGCCAGAGATGCAGAGGGTGAGAGAATTCACCAGGGACAGAGTGGGGAGCAGAACAGGCAGATCTTCGAAGTACACTGCTGAGGGGAGCAGCGGGCGGGTCAGGAGAGGTCTGCCTCACCATGTGGTCACCTCCAGGACAGGCGGGGATCGAACTCATGCGGAAGTGGCTTAAGCTTCTTAGCACTGTGCTTTAACCAGCTGCGCCACCAGGGAGGGCCTCCTTTATTATTTTAAGCTGCCATTTGGTTTATATATGCATTTCTAATTATATGTGTGTATACACTCGCTATAATATATATTTCATTAAGTGTTCATATTTCCTAAGATGTGTGAAATTCTTTTTTTTAAGTTGGTGTGTTCAAATCAGTATTCCAACAGGCTAACACACTGCTTTTGCTTGATATGCCTCTGAAGTCTCAGCCTGTAAATTCCTTCCTCATCCTTTTTAAACTTACCCTATTTTGTTGAAAATGGGTCATTTGTCACTTACAATTTCCCGTGGGACAGTAGGACTTTGTTCTTTTATCTAAGTATCAGCTAAGTTTTACAAAATACAATCTTTAATGCCTCTTTTAAAGCACAGAGTAGAACAAAGGAGAAAAAAATTTTAAAAAGATAGAATTTCCTTAATAACCCCTGTAACTATCTTTTTTTTTTTTTTTTTTTTTTTTTTTAATGAAAACCACAGGTGAAAAGTTTAAAAAATAAGTGTAAAAGTCTTTCTGGAAATATCTCCTTGACTTTTCTCTATTTTTATCTAAACCTTTTTTTTTTTTTAAGGTAACTAATCTGGATGACAGTAACTGGGCTGCTGCATTCTCATCACAGCGTTCTGGGCTCTTCCCAAACACAGAGCCCCACAGTGTAACGGAGGACGTCACTCTCAGCGCTGTTATGTTACGTGAGGATGATCCCGGAGAAGCTGGTAAAATGGCTTTGAATTTTGTGACAAAGTTTGTAATTACTAAGTTCAAGAAAATTATCTTCTCAGCAATATGTCTCTCCATCTTTATTTATAAGAGTATTATTCACAAGAGCCAAATTGAAGGCAACCTAAGTGTCCATTGATGGATGAATGGATAAACTTAGTGTATATATCTACATGGTATATTATATCTACATGAGTATATTATTCAACCTTCAAAAAGAAGCAACTAGAGAGACAGGCTACAACAATGAGCACTTACTAAATGGTTCCAGAGACTGGGGGGTAGAGGGTAGGTAGGGAATGGAAGATTATTGTTTATAGGTACAGAGTTTTAGTTTATTTATAACATATAACTCATACATAACATTGTGTAAATTTCAGGTGCACAACACTGATTTGATACTTTTTATTTATTGTGGTATGATTGTCAGTATAATGTTAGCTAGCACCTCCATCACACACTTTTTTCCTGATGAGAATACTTAATACTAATCTTTCTTTTGTAACTTAGAAGTATGTAACACAGATTTATGGGCTGTAGTTACACTGTAAAAAAAAAATCATTGTAAAGAATAGTCTCAAGAAATATTTTCCCCTTTTTGGGGTGGTGGGGGCGGGGGGGTGTTTTGCAGTTTCAGGTCTTATGTTTAAATCTTTAATCCATTTCCAGTTCATTTTTGTGAGTGGTCTAATATAAGCATTGAGTTACATTTTTCTACTTGTGATTGTCCAATTTTTCCAAATCCATTATTTTTGACTCCCTTGTCAATTACTAATTGATCATATATGCAGGAGTTTGTTTCTGCATTCTTTTCATTAGTCTGTGTATCTATTTGTCCATGTTTTAGTTACTATCAGTTTTTAATATAGTTTGAAATAAAAGCATGTGGAGTCTCCAGTTTTGTTCTTCTTTCTCAGGATCACTTTGGCTATTCTGAGTTTTAATTTTGAAAAATGAAGAGTCCTGTGAATGGGTGGTGGTAATGGTATCACAAAAGTATAAATGTACCTAATCCCACTGAACGATACACTTGCAGTGGCTAAGATGGTAAATTTTATGTGTATTTTGCTGTAGTTATTTTTTAATAAAGCATTAAGAAATAAAGGACTCAAGGCTATGTTTTACATTTTTAGACAGTTACCTAGAAGTATGTCACTTTGTTCCTTTATCTTCACTTTTGTTCCTTTTTAATGTTTTCTAGCATCCATGAGTATGTTTTCAGATTTCCTGCATTCTTTTTTAAAACACTCTTCAACTACAGTTTTTGACCTTGTAGAAGAATATGAAAACATTTGTGGTAGTCAGGTAAGTTAATTTGACTCCATTACTGGTCAAACTTCAGTACTGTTTTTGTTTTGTTTTGTTTTTTTAACAGCATCAACTTGTTCATTTCCATGCTTTAAGGAATAGAGTGTAGGGGTATAGTGGTATAGGTGGTGTGGTTGAGAGGTCAGGCCAGAGCAAGTCTTATGTATATTAGGGTTCATACAATATTCCTTTTGGAGTAGAAGTATTTTTGCTGTTTTTCTTTTAAAGATTTACGTATTTGTGCACATAAGAACCGGGGTATCAGTCAGAAGTGTAGGACAGTGAAAGGATTCATCAGAGAGAATGGGGAGCAGAACAGGCAGATCTGAAATACACTGCTGAGGGGAGCAGAGGGTGAAGCAGGAGAGGTCTGCTTGCGATCAAACTCTAAACTCATACTGCAGTGGCTGTCAGCACCCTGATAGAGCTCTGTCTCTAACCCCTACACCACCAGGAAGACCCCAGAGTTCTGCTGTTTTAAGAAGAATCCAAAATATACAAAGAACTTTTAAAAAACTCACTGGTAAGACAATGTAAACTTATTCAATAGATATCTTATCAGAGGATATATGCAGATGACAAATAAGCATGTGAAAAGAGTTTTAGATTATATGTCATTAAAGAATTGCAAATTAAAACAAGATGCTTACATCTTGTTATGTAGTGGTGAAACTCCAAAACAGTAACACCATCAAATGCAGATAAGGATATAGAGCAGCAGAAATTCCCCACTTGCTGGTGGGAATGCAGAATGGTACATCCACCTCGGAAAACATTTCTCAGTTTCTTACAAGATTAAGCATATTCTTAACATGATTCAGGGCTCATACTCTTTGGTATTTACCCAGTGAGATGAAAACTTATGTCCACAAAAACACCTGCACACAGAAGTTTATAGCAGTTTCATTCATATTTGCCAAAACTTGGAAGCAACCCAGATGTCCTTCAGTAAGTGAATAGATAAATAAACTGTCCATACAGTGGAATATTACTCAATGCTAAAAAGAAATGAGCTTACAAACCATGAAAAGATATGAACCTTAAGTGCAGATTACTAAATGAAAGAAGCCAGGGTAAACAAGGCTGTATACAGTATGATTCCAGTGATATTCTGAAAAGGAGAAAGACAACTTATCAGTGGTTGCCAGGACTGGAGGGGTGAGGGTAGGACACTGGATAGGTTGGAGCATAGCTGGTTTTTAGGGGAATAAATTTATTCTCTGAAACTCTGATTGATACATGTTGTTAGACATGTGTCAAAAGCAACTAACTAAACTATGAACTTCCAGAGATAATGATTTGCCTACATAGGTTTCATTGATTGTAACAGATATACTGTCCTGGTGCTAAATAATTGATAGTGGCCAGGAGGTTGGACTTACATGGGAGCAGAGAGTAAGAGGAACTGTGCTTTCTACTCAGTTTTGCTATTAAACCAAAGCTGTTCTGAAAAATAAAGTCCATTAAGAAAACAAAAGCAGGAAGGGTCTTAAAAAATTATTACATTCAAGAATAGAGCATTTTAATAATTCCAGTCATCAGTCTCAGAATTCAGTAGTCAATCTCTGAATCATTCCACTATAAAAGTAGTCACTTCATTAAATAATAAAAGCAATAATAACCACTTAGTGAATTACTGGAATTAGAATTCCAAAGAAGGAATCTAATCAGGGAATGTGAGATATAGTTAATACACTTATTAAACACAGGCCTCAAGACAGATGTAATGCTAATACCTTTTAAAGTTTGGGAAAACCTACTAGACTGAATAATCTTCATGTCCTGAATAACCACATAAATAGTGTTAAGTATCACTGTTTTTAGAATAGGGAGGTACTTTGGTTAAGTTTTACTTAGAAATGACAGTGTTTTGATGTCAGTCTTAAGAAAATTTTGTTACATAGTTAAAAATTTTCAGGCAAAATTTACAGGTGTTTTATAATTTTCCTCATGACTTGGTTCATGCCATTATGATTTTGTCAGGGGTAGACTAGATTTAGCTTACCTTCTGGGTGAATATAACAGGGTGAAAAAAGTTTACTAATGGTTGTTGTTGAATCTGAAATCTAGAGTATGTTAAGCTTTTACCTATTTCATCACACAAACAAACCTCAAATTAAGGTCATTACTAGTAGTAGGACACTTACATTATCTTCAATTATTAAAAAAAACAATTTGATTGGCAGGAAAAGTTACAAACATGTATATATGAGTATATATATATATACATAATTAACTTTAGCACTTTGTGTATGAGGTACAAAAAATTTTGACTCAGAATTACAGAAAATTAAACTTTATATCTGTGTCTTTAACTCAGGTGAATATACTGAGTAAAATAGTGAGCCGAGCAACACCTGGACTGCAAAAGTTTTCAAAAACAGCCAGTATGCTCTGGCTTCTTCAACAGGAGATGGTCACATGGAGGCTGCTGGCTTCTTTGTATAGGTAAGGTTCTCAAACTCATAAATGAAATAAACACAAGGTAAAGTAACATTACCATTAAGAAAACTTAAAAGTAACAGTAGGGTATATTTGAAAAGAGATTCTGTTTTTGTTGTTTACTTCTATTACTTTACATGACAGGAGTAAATTAGGATGGGAGAGGGAATTTTGGTCGTAAAGCTGGTGGCTACCAAATATTGGATACATAGAAAGATTTTTTTAAAGTGCTAAAAATACTGCAGTACTTAAGGAGAGAATAGAGAAAGGAGAAAGCTGAAATGCATAATATGGAAATTTAAAAGAAGTTACCAACTTTTCCTTCTCTCGGATGTTCAGAGATTTTGGTTCTTACTCTGTTGCTTTCTCATCCTGATGAGAAAATCTTGGGAAAAAGTCATATTCTGGTTTTTTTTTTTTCCAAGTAAAAATGGTTTATTAAAATGGTACGTGTATGCATTAACAGGTATTAAAAGCTTTTTATGGTGTGTTTTTTAAAAGATTTATTTTATTTACGTATGCACACAAGTGCTGGGGTGTAGGCCAGAGGTGTGGAGGGGACTGTGAGAGGGGGTCACCGGAACAGAGTGGGAAGCTGAACAGGTGGGTTATCTGAAATACGCTGCTGAGGGGAGCACCAGGCAAGACAGGAGAAGTCTGCTGCACCATGAGGGTCACCTCCCTGGCTGGGGATCAAACTCATGCCACAGTCACTGTAGGCCAATAGCTTCATAGTGCTGAGACGAAACCCCTGCACCACCAAGGAGGCTGCAGTATGCTTTTTTTTTTTTAGTGATTAGTTTTATTCAGATATCAATAACAAAACATTTACTGCTTATCTTGTTTTTAAAGTATGACGATTAATTGGGAACTCATTTTCATACAGTTATACTGGGTAGAATGCAGGTTGTATGGTATATCTAGCTTTAAAGGTGATTTCATATATTCATGTGAAATAAATTTCATTTTATGTTAATTTTCCCCAGAGACAGAATACAGTGTGCACTGGAAGATGAAAATATGTTTGCAGTTGCCGTAAGTTTTATGTTAATTTTTCCCTTTATATGTAGTTAACATTTTTAAAATATTTTTTAGTAGTAGGATTAAATTTTGCCTACCATCTTGATGCAGTCTCATAAAATAGTCAAATAATGCTTTATTTTGCAGAGTGCAAGGTGATAGTCCTCTTTTATCTCTCCTCCTATTCAGCCTAACAATTTGGTATATATTGTACCAGATATTTCTCTCTATATCTTTGTACATCTATACCTACCGTATGTTTTTAAACATACGACTCCATTCAGACATTATAATTTCTTTTTTATTCATCAGTATTTCCTAGTTTTTCTCATGTCAGTGCATATGGTTTGCCTTAGTTTTTTATAGTATGCTTGCAAATAACTGTACCTTAGTTTTTTCAGACAGTCTGTTGGACATACTTAGGTTTTTTTAGTTTGTAAAACAAGTAAGAAATTTGTTTTTTTTTTTTTTCAAATGGATATCCATTTATCCCAATACCATTTATTTTACAAATATTTATAAAAATATTTACCATGGCTCTAATGAATCTTTTGTGTTTTATTGAGTGGTTCTAGTGCTACACAACTAGAAAGCTAGTGAATTAAAGTCCCTCTAATTCAGAAGCTTTAATATTTGCTGATATTAACTTTCCCACCTCATTTTAAAATATATTAATGCATTGATGTATTCTTTTTTTTCCCCAGTTGAACTTTACAATTTCCATTTTCCAAAAAGTCCTATTAGATACTTGATAGAAATAATACTGAATTTGAAATAACTTCCTTATCATGTTAGTTATTTAGTTCTTTTATAACTATGTAGATCTGTACCCTTCTTTATAAAAATCTATGTGAACTCTGTTGTACATGGATCCTCTTTCCGACTTCATTTCTAATTAGTTATTACTATCAAATAGGAGATTAGTGATTGACATATAGAACTCATATTTTTCTGTCTTTGGATGCCAGATCTTTTTGGTTATCTCTTTTAGCTCTGGTAGGGCATTTATTTATTTATTTTGTTTGTTTGTTTTCTGTGTTGGTAATAATCACCTACAAATGGTGAGTTTCCCTTAAGCCTTTCTAATTTTCTTTCTTCTGCTTGCCTATTGCATTGACTAGGAGCATAACACAATATTATCCATAGTATAGTAGGCATTCTTTTCTTATTCCTGACTTTTGATATGAATGCTTTTGTTTTACCACAAGCTAAGTATTTTATACCTGACTAAGTTGGAATCCATATTAAATGTAGTCATATGAGAACTACTTTGCTTTATTAATGTAATGGCTTCCATTAATAATTTTTCTAATATTGAATTATCCTCAAGTAGTATAAACTCAGTCATGATAGTATAAACTCTGTCTTGAATATTATACTAAATTTTATTAAGTAATATTTTATGTAGACTTTCTCAAAATATGTTTTGTTTTTGGGAATTAATTCTCATCCAGCTTTGGCATCTAGAATTGTGCTAGCTGTCCACAGCAAGTTCCTAAGTCTTCATTATTTTTTTATGTTCTGTTTGAAGAACAGAACCATTACCTCTTCTTTAAAGTGTTAGTAAAAAATATACCTTTACAGCTGTAAAGACCAACTATTCTTTTATGGCTTAGCTACATTTTATTTTCTTGCAGAAGTAATTCATAGTTGAATCAACTAAGGTCAAAAAGGAAAAAGTGTATACATTTTCAGAATAATTTTAATGATTTTAACCTTATAGGTCTCTTACAACTGCTTTTTCACCTAAAATTTTCAGATACTTTTTTAGACATTTTTTGCTTATTTTACAAATTTCATCCCATCAATTTTATGTTACTCAGAACCATGTGGAAGATTATTTATATTTGACTATTTATTAAATGTACTCGTTAATAGTTTCTCATTGATTCTCTTAATTTTCAAAGTAGGAAACCCTTTATGCACTAAGAGTGATGATTTGACTCTCACCATATTTATTACTACTAAGTTCTTTCTGGTTTATGTATCAAATGGAAGTTCAAGGTAAAGTTGAATAATTGCAGAAATTAGATTTTTTGTTGGATTTTGAAAGGAGTTTGTAATAAAATATTTGTGGGTGATTAAATATACTTATTTCAGATTCACTTTCATCTTTCTCTTGAAATAATAATCTTAGAGCATCTTTTTTGTTTTCCTTCCTTCAAAAATTATTTTTAAATAGACTCTTAATGCCAGTGAGAAAGCAGTTGTGGAAGCTTTGTTTCAGAGGGATTCACTTGTGCGACAAAGTCAGGTATGACTGATATTTTAACTTTTCTTTTGAAATGTGGAGTAAGTAAAAGTAAATGACATACAAAGAGCTAAATTTTTTTAATTTAGTGCTTTTCTAGTTTTTTCTTTTTGATCTTTTTATTTATAAGTAAAAGGAATTAAGAACCTTGTTCTTTGGTTTTTTTTTTTTTTTTTTTTAAGATTTATTTATTTGTACATACAGAACTGGGGTACAGGCCAGAGGCTCAGGGGTGGTGAGAGGCTTTACCAGAGACAGAATGGGAAACAGAACAGGCAGATCGACAAAATACACTGCCGAGGGGAGCAGCGGGTGGGTCAGGAGAGGTCTGCCCCGCCATGTGGTCACCTCCAGGGCAGGGGGGGATCGACTTTAGCTTCTCAGTGACTTTAGCTTCTCAGTGCTGTGCTTTAACCCGCTGCGCCACCAGGGAGGGCCATTCTTTGGTTTTCACTACTAGTATTGACATAGGGATAACCAGGAAAAAGGCTTGTCATTCAAAGAAAATTTCATCCCTTTCCCATAACATTTATATATCTTCAAAAAGTAAAAAAAATGCTACTTAGTATTTTTGCCCTAGAAACATTTTTTTTTTAAGATTGTTTTATTTATGTGTACAGAACTGGGGTACAGGCCAGAGGTACAGGGATGGTGAGAGAATTCATCAGAGACAAAGTGGGGAGCAGAACAGGCAGGTCAACGAAGTACACTGTTGAAGGGAGCAGCTGGCAGGTCAGGAGAGGTCTGTGGGTCATCTCCAGGGTGGGGATTGAACTTGCACTGAAGCAGCTGCAGCTAGCTTGCAGTGCTGGGTCCTAGCCTGTTGAACCACCCGGAAGGGCCCCCCCTAGAAACTTTTATTGAATTAAATATAGACATACCATTTCAAATAAAGACACTAACACAGATATTATAGTTAATACTTGTTTTTGTTTTTTTCTTTCCCTAGCTGGTAGTAGATTGGTTAGAGAGCATTGCCAAAGACGAAATTGGAGATTTTTCTGATAATATTGAATTTTATGCAAAATCAGTTTATTGGTAAGTTATTCAAAGTTTCTGTTCTTAAAGTCACTTAACATTTTTATTCATCTCTTAACAAATTTTTATTGTTACTAAATATTCAGTCTGAGCAAAACAAAAGTCTGCCTTTATAGATTCTATAGTTAAGAGAGCTGGTTAGCAAGTAAGCCAGTATATTTCCTGTTGGATATTAAGAATTTTGGGGGAAAAAACAAATCAGTTGTGGGGTGGAGGATGATAGCAGGAGCTACTCTAAATGGAGGAGGTGATAGGGAGGCCTCTAAGTAAGTAACAGGTATTGAAAGTAAGAAACATGGCACCTAAAGAGCTACAAATAAACAGATAACTTAGGAAAAGGGCAAATATTTGAGCAGATACTTGGCAAAAGCAGATTGATGAATGGCCATAAAAATGCGTTGAGAATCATTCTGAACTAAAATAGCCTTCTGCACTTAGCATCTTTGGATGCTTTTTCTCATTATGTACTCTTTTTTTCCCCTTGTATTCGATTTCACTTTTATATATGTATGTGTATACATATACATATACACATGCACGTGTGTGTATATATGTATGCACACACACCTATTAAAGCTACTCCTATTTTAAAAATGTGCTTTTTCTTTCAGGGAAAATACATTGCATAGCTTGAAGCAGCGTCAGCTGTCCTCTTACATAGGAAGTGTCCGTTCTCTTGTCACTGAGTTGGTAAGTAGCCTTTGAAATAAAAGTTGTCTTCAAAGTTCAGTGATTCATTTTTCTAAGGTCGAGAACTTTTCTTCTGTTTGAACCTTGCTTTAAGTTCCTAAAGTTTGCTCACTTTATTTAACTCTAAAACGACTAAGTTGCATTTGAAGTTGATGGAATGTAGTTGAACATATTCATGACCTATGAATTGTAAATTGTAAAAGGAGCTTAGAAAGTGTTCCTGATTTGCCAGCATTATAATTTAAAAATTAATTTTTAACTTAATGTAGAATAAAGCCAGGTTTGACTCTTCAACTGTGAGGTAATGACCTGTGAAAGCTCTTTTATGTAGAAAGCAGGGGTAAAAATAAAACTCTGAATTAGCAGAAGGTTAGAAAGATATTCTAAGATATGAATAACAGGAATAACTGTATTTGAACGGAATAGGAGTCCAGTTTTTGTAATAAAGGAATAGAGTTCTGTGATTTAAATGCTTATAGTGAAATTGGGTGTAATAATAAAAAATTTATAAGATTCCACTTGGCAATAATAAAAGTAGTTTTTGATGAAAATTGATGGAAACCACTGGAAAAGCCTGAAATAAATTGTAGCTAAATTACCTGTAGCATGCAACTGAAAATCATTTACTCTTAACAATTGGAAAGTGGTGATTTCTTCTTGCCAGACAGAGATTGGGTTCAAATTGAATGATTGTATCTGTCTGCAGAATAGTTGTGAAAATAGCCTATTGACCTATTATGTGTCTCATTTTCTAAACTGATAGTCATTATTACTGTATATATATTTGAAATAAGGATTCCCTTCTTTCTCAAAGTCGTGTTAAAGTAGTTTTTCATTTGAGTGCTATTTACTACAAAAATTATATGTTTAAAAGTATGTTTATTTCTGTGAAAGATAGGAACAGCTGTCTAGGAGGTTTTTTTATTAAAAATCTGTTTTAAAATAATTTTATTGGACTTGGATATGCTTTATATAGCATTAATCTCAAAATGGGCTTGCTGCTTTTAAGTTCATAGGAAGTACCAGTAGCACTTTGTTATAAAGGAATACATTGTGTTTCCTGCAGTTTCTCCTCTGCTGTTCTCCACCTAGACCTAGTTCTGTTTCTAATTAACGTGGCCATGTAATTGCTGCAACAGGGTAAAATTAAGTCATTTTTAACTATGAAAAGTTCATAGTTAGATTGACTGGGCTGAACTAATGGTGGTTCTGCCTTGCCTGGCAGAGACTCCTTGTGGCCAGTGGAGTCTGTTTTGCCTGTGCAGCAGGAAGTTGTGTGACTGTGTGGAACGCTTGTGACATTTTCATTCTCTTTGTTACTTAACTAAATCCTAAATAAACTTGTTATATAAACTCAGGAGAGATTGATCATCACTTAAAATTTAAAATGTATTTGTTTACAAAGGTTTATAGCTGGTGATTTTATTTTAATAGGACCCTGATGCTCCCATAAGACAGAAAATGCCCCTTGATGACCTGGATAGAGAAGATGAAGTCAGATTACTCAAGTACCTTTTTACTCTAATCCGAGCTGGAATGACAGAAGAGGTAAAGTGTGTATCCTGCTTGTCCACTTTCAAGACACATAGACTTTAAGTTGGAAGGCATCTTTATGCTCACCTAGTGTACCTCCTCCGTGCAGTAATCTTGTCAATAGTATTTCTGGATCTAAATCCTGTTTGAACTTTTCCAATAATAAGAAATGTATTGCACCAGAAAACAGTGTACTCACTTGTACAACTCAGAAAAAAAATCAGAAATTGCCTCTTTATATTGGTGCTCTGTACCCAAGGCATATACTCATTATTTTTAATTCATATTTTTAAGACTTGAGAATAAATCAACCGTAATTGTTCTTCTAGGTGACACTATTTAGGCATTTGAAGACTATAATGGAACTTGAATTTCCATTTAGTCTCACCTTTTAAAAATGTAATCTCCTTTGTAAGAGTTAAAATCTTGTATCTAGAACGTTAAGAATCTAATAGGACAGTTTACCAGATGCTATTGTTGACTTTCATCAAGGCAGTCTGATGCATAGTACTATAGCTTTGTACAAAGATATTAGGTTGCACTTTGCAGTACTCTTGGTAATTTAATAATCTTTAGATATATGTTAGAATGAGATCAAGCATGTTCAGGGGTATATGTTAGTTCAAAATGATTTTTTTTTTCTGTGTTATAAACCTTTAGCATAGATAAATTAGATTATTTCTTGCAATAGTAAGTCTTGGGTTTTTAAGCATTGTTCAAGTCCCAGCCAGTGTCAAGCGATGAGCAGTGATTAGGAACCACAATGGCAAACAAGTATGTAGTTTTAAAAACAGAAAACAAAAGTAAGATCATTATTACCAAAGGCTTGAAGCACAAAACCTTCAATTTCCCACTACCTACACATGTAACCCCAGATTGTGGCTTTTATGTAATTTGCAACCTTTTTTCTTTTATACCTCTTTTTAACACAATCATACATTCATTCGGAGTTTTGCTTATTTTCTAAATGTCACAATTAAGGTATGATGCATATACCATACAGTTTATCCACTTCAAGTGTGTATATACTTCAGTAGTTTGAGCGTACCACATTATTTTTTTTTATTATTATTGTGGTAAAACATACAGAACACAATCTGTCATTTTAACTATGTTGTTTTAACCATTTTAAATGTGCATTTCAGTGGCATTAATTGCATTTCCTTTACCACTGTTGCCAAACTGTTTCAACACCCCAAACTGAAATTCTGTAACCATTATTCAGTAACTCTCCATTTCCACCCTCCCTCAGCCCCTGGCAACCTCTAGTCTACTTTCTGCCTCTACCAATTTACCAATTCTGGATTTTTCATGTAAGTGGAATCATACAATATTTTTCCTTTTATGCCTGGTTTACAAAAAGGTTCAGTATTTAGTGTTTTTCCTGCCTTTTTCACATCATAAATCAAAACATTTTTCCATGTTGCTATATATGTGTGTGTATATAAATAAAAGTAGCAATATATCTTTTAAAATTTGTAAATCTAAAGTAATGTAAAGCTGGTTATATCCAACAGGTTCTCTTTAAGTGCCACGGATAAAAATCCAACTCTCGTTACTTACATGGGGGGAATTGATTGGCTCACAGAATAACTATCATATCTAATAGCTTAAAGCAGAATCCAGGGTTTAAAATACATCATTAGGATACTTTTTCCCAAGCTCTTGCTCTGCCTTCCCTGGCTTCGTTCTCAAGAAGCCACTCTTGTGTATCAGTACTGGCCACCAGCAGCTACAAGCTGCATCCCTGCCAGCTAGCGATACTAGCAGTCGTAACGTGTCTCCTGTTATTTCCAGCAAGAGTCCCGAAAGTGATTCTTACTAGGTCACATGTGAACTCCAGCATTCAGAGATGGGATCAGGCCTACCCATACCTTAGGAACCAAATGGAAAGATGTTTCCTAAAGAGATGATGGACCACCAAATATATATCCATTTCTTTCCCTCCACAAGAATTATATTTTTATTTCAAAAAATGGCTACTGCTTTATTTTTTTAAAGATGCATTTATCTGTCTCACTGGTATAGTGTTAGGTTCATCTGATTGGTCCCATTTGGCATAAAGAAATTCTAGTAGGCTGAATGAACAATAGCATCCTATCAACATAGAGATTGGAATTATTTTATATTACTTTTACATAAACCAAGATTAATCAACCTGTTTAGATTAATTTGTCTCTGGCAGAAAAATGTCTCTGGACAACAGGGGAATCTATTGGTAAGCCCAAAATCAAAGCAATTGTTAGTATAGAAACAAAGGAAACGATCACAGAGGAGAGACAGGCATGTGATGGTTAAGTGAAAGGCCATTACGAGTCTGTATCTGTATGGAAATGCCATTACTAGCTGTTATCATTCTTTGTAACAACTGTGCCATAAATTATCCCATCATGTATTGCTTATATGTTTCTATAATGCACAGTACGTATCCAGTACAGACATACCTTGGAGATGTTGAGAGTATGGTTCCAGACCACCACAATAAAGTAAATCTTGCAGTAAAGCAAGTCACAGATTTCTTGGTTTCACAGGACATATAAAAGAAAAGTTTACATTATATTGTAGACTGAGTATGCAATGCATTGTGCTTAAGAAAACAAAAGTTTTTCAATGTGACAGACATGAAGTTAACCACATGCTGATAGCCTTGCTAGCCATAGTCCTGCTGCACACCTTTAGTCTGTAACACATAGGGAAAGCACAGTAAAATGAGGTGTGCATGAGCTATGCTGGTCAGGTGAGTAACTGCTCTTTCTTGTTTCTAAAGGCACAAAGACTCTGTAAGCGTTGTGGTCAGGCATGGAGAGCTGCAACACTTGAAGGCTGGAAACTGTATCATGACCCTAATGTTAATGGAGGTATTTTGTTAGATTTTATTTTGAGTGTGGATTTTATTGTATTCAAAATGCCAGTCTTTGTGAAGGAGAGCTGTTTTTAGAAATAGTTGATATAGGCCCTTCCTTATATCAAGGAAGGTGGTGTAACAGGTTAAAGCGCAGCACTGTGAAGCTAGCAGCAGCTGCTTCAGTACGAGTTTGATTCCCGCCCTTTAGGTAACCCACATGGCTCTCCTGTTTTGCCCACTGCTCCCCTCAACAGTGTACTTTATAGATCTGCCTGTTCTGCTCCCCACAATGGTGAATACTCTCACCACCCCTGCAACTCTGGCCCATACCCTAGTTTTTGTATACATAAGTAATAAATAAATCTTTTTTTAAAAAAAGAATATTAAAAAATTTTTTTTGAATAGTTGAAATAAGATGTACTGTTTAATTATAAATTTAATTTCTTTTACTACTTTATAGGAACAGAATTAGAACCTGTTGAAGGGAATCCATATAGATGCATCTGGAAAATAAGTTGTTGGAGAATGGCAGAAGATGTAAGATATGATAAAAGTATTTACTAATTCTCACTTTTGCTCATTAATTGAAGGTCTGCTGAAGGTACTATAAAATGTTTATAGTAATATAAGACTGAAAGTCCTGTTTTAGAGAACTTCCAATCAAACTGAGGAATAGGAGTAGATAAGCTTAGCTGTAAATCAGAACTATTAAGAATTAAACACTGATAATAAGACAGAAATATCAAGGAGGTACTAGATGAGTTTCGAGAATAAGGCTAATAGCTGGCTTCCCAAGTAAGAAACTTGATGGACTTACAGGATTTGGGTTGTACATGAAAAGAATAGAAAGAAATTCATAGGTTATGACATAACTTCTGCATTACTAAAAATTACTTCAGCATGAGAAATTGTGCAGAAAACCCACAAGGCTTTGGGGGAAATAGAGTTAAGAACAGAAAACTGAAAAATCATTAATGATACATAAAAAGATATTTTTTAAGTATCATTTATTAATGACATATAATCTGGAGGTAAAATGAATCATTTAATGGTTATAATTAATTCTGCTTAGGAATGAGATGCGCACTAACACCTGACAGTGCCTTTAGTTGATGTTTTAGGTCAGTCGTGTTGACTATATAGAAACTTACTTGAATAAGAAAATCTTTAACAGATTCTGTCTGGAATAAAATTGGACTTAAAATAAAGCATCTTAGAATTAGATCTGCTTTTACCCAGCTTATGAAATTTAGATGTGTAACTTTTCCTGAAGATTTCAGGGTTGAAGCTAAAGAGTCCTTCCTCCATATCCCGACCCACGAATGTTTAGAAGCTTTCAAGTTAAAAATTGAGTTTTAATTTAGAAATGTGGAATTCTGGATGATGAAAAACATTGACATACTCTGAAAAACAATGTCACAAATCTCTACTATTGTATTTCAGGAGCTGTTTAATAGATATGAAAGAGCAATTTATGCAGCTTTAAGTGGGAATCTTAAGCAGGTATTTGGTCAATTTAGTCTTTTTTTTTTCCTATGGAATAAAATCATACATATTCTAAAATTGATTATAGTAAACTTACATAAACTTTTGCTACTTCTAAAAGTATTGATCTGTAATCATGAAATAGTGACGTAAGCTGCTTAATTGGATAGTTCCCATATACCAAGTGATGTTTTTAACACATGAAATCATTTTCTTTGAATTGTAAATTGAGTCACAAGATACATTTACTAGTGTCGTGTAGTACCCATTGTCTTATCCAGAGGTGAACAAGACACTGACTATTTTGATCGTCTGACATATACATGTGTATACTTCTCCATACCCCCTCCATTTAAAGCTTATTTGAGGAATGTTACAATAATTAGTCGAAATACCATCTTATATCACCTTCGAAAATTGATGTAATGTGAACTCAGTATATGACAAAGTCTTAATTGTTCAAACAACTCAGAAGATACAGTTTGGAGGGGATGCTTATTTGATAAGTATTTTTTTACAACTCACAATATTTTGTGATTAGTGACTTTGTCGCCCATATTATAGATGTAGCTGCTTTTCCTTCCTTTTTTTTTTTGTTGACTATGTTTTTGTTTTTCAAACTGGGGAAAAGCTGCTTCCCGTCTGTGACACCTGGGAAGACACAGTGTGGGCTTACTTTCGGGTCATGGTGGACAGTTTGGTAGAACAAGAGATCCGGACGTCAGTGATAACTCTGGATGAAGTTGAAGAACTCCCTAGAGAATACTTGGAAGCAAAGTGAGTTTGTTGGTTTGTTTTTAATCACTTTGTGGTATATTCTGTGAAGTTGTTTTTTGTTCTGTGCAGTATTGTATAGCCTTGTTCATATTATTAATATTATGTTATCCCTTTACTGTTCTTTCTTTTGAAGTTGGACTTTAGAAAAAGTTTTTGAAGAACTTCAAGCTACTGATAAAAAGGTAAATAGTAATTTATGAATATCTTAGGATATGAATATTTTAGGATGAATGTGAATATTTTAGGATAACTAGGATAGAAAACAATAAATGTAGTGCTATTCTCTGTAGTTGAAAGGGGGAAAAGTGAAACTGTGTTATATTCTTCCTTCTTTTCTTTACCTCTTATCCAAATGAGAGATATTCTTTATAAGAAATATAACTGCTTAATTTAAGTATAAATCATTTCTGTTTATTTGGCTTAAGAATAGTTTCATCTAAATATAGGCATCTAAGCTTTCCTTTGGAAAAAAATATATAAAATGGGACATTTTTAAATTGAGCTTTTTGTTGTTAAGCTTTTTGAGTTCTTTATATGTTTTAAATATTAGCTCCTTGTGGGACATACACTATGCAATAAGCTTCTCCCACTCAGCAGAGTACCCTTTTTGGTTTTGTTTTGTTTTTCCAAAATGCTTTTACTCTGCAAAATACTTTTTCAAGTAATATTCTCTTAAAAATTTCAAATAGCCGAAGGAGTATTGTATAAACTTGACATCTTACACAAAGATGGCCATAAAAGCCTTTATAATTTCCCAACTACTTTATAGTTATTTTCATTCCCCTGAGATGTTAAAGCATATTGATATTTATCCTTCTATGCCTTTCATACTTCTACAGTTATGTGTAAATGATGTAGGTGAATTCAGATACAGGGTTTTGGTTTTTCACATAGCCTGCATCCATTACATTACAACTTGTTTTTGCTGTTTTGTCCTTCATTTAATGGTGCTCTTTCCAAGCTAGTAGGCATAGATTTCACTTATCCTTCCTTATTTTTTTAATAGGTGCATAATGTTCTCTAGAATGTTGTAGTACATACATATACAGAATGTTCTGTAGAATGTTGTATAATTTTTTAAATCACTCTTCATTTGGTGATTCTTAGATGTTTCTAGCACTGCATATATGCATGTATGTTTATCTACCAGATTTGCTGGGCTAACAGGTATATGTATATCAAACCAATATCTGTTTGTGGCAATTAAATTCCTGTTTCTGCAAGGAATTTATTACTGTGGTCATTCCCTGCATTCTTATTAGTTCCAATGTAACACCTTCTTAGCCAATTTATCAGATTAAGTGGGAAGTAGGAAAACACTACTCTACCCATGTTTTTCCTGTAACTCATAAGACTTAGCAAGTTTTCTTGTGTATTTTTGACTATTCGTAAATGTCCTATTTTTCTGTCGATTTTTTTTCCTTTAATTGTGTATGAGTTCTTTGTATAGTGAGATTAATGTCTTCAGTCACATGTTTCTTACAGACTCTTATTTTGACGATTTCAACTAATGAAAGTAAAACAGACATTATGTATAATAAGATTAGTAAATTCAAAACTCAATAAACTACTGGTAAAAGAGAACCTTTTAAAATATCCAAATTTGGGCCCTCCCTGGTGGCACAGCTGGTTAAAGCACAGTATGAAGAAGCTAAAGCCACTTCAGCATGAGTTGGATCCCCGCCCCGGAGGCGATCCACATGGCATGGCAGACCTCTCCTGACCCGCCTGCAGCTCCCACTCTGTCTCTGGTGAATCCTCTCACCGCCCCTGCATCTCTGGCCTGTACCCCAGTTCTGTGTGCATAAATAAATATCTTTTTTTAAAAATGTAAATTCAAGAAAAGGAAAGCATAGCCCTTTTCTACTTGTTACAACTAATTAGAAAAGGATATGGTGCTCCCCTGTTCACATCCCCCTCCCCCACAAAAAAGGTCTTATTTAAATTATTTGTCAAATCTATAAGACACTGAAAAATAAAATTAAGGGTTTCCTAAGACAACTATAGAATCTTATTACTAACATGAATAAACAGAACTGAGTTTCTGGATGAAAAGATTTGATGTAAACATCACTCATTCTGAAACTAACATGAACATAACAAAAAAATCCTAATTAGAATGAGTGAAAATGGCAAAGAATTTTAGAAATGAGAACTAGTTTTAGAGTACTTGCATCAATAATAAAACAATGAAAAGATACCACAAAACAGTATGAAAATGGCATGGGGTAAAATAGCGTCTCTATTAGATCTAAAGTATATGAACACTTAATAGGTGACAGAGTTAGTCTTTCATTTCAGAAAAGAGATAATTTACATGTGTGATCTCACATAATTGATTTTCCACCTGGAAAATAACAAAGTTAGGTCTCTACCTCACACCATTGAAGTAAATTCCAGATTGAGCAAGTATTTATATTAAAAAATAAATGCTAACAAAAATTTAGGATAAAGATACATTTGGCAAAAAGATAAATGAACTTTTTGCTTCAAAATGTACAATGGGTTATTTTTAAAGGATTTTCTACTCTGTACCTAATTACTATTTTGATGGTTTGTGTTACTCTCGGTGCCATGTACAGGAGAGAATGTCCAAAAAATGCTTTCCAGAACTGCTGTTTATGTAGAAAAATGTTGTATTAGTCAAGGCACATGAACCCTTTCTTTCTGGTTCACCATAGAGTGCCAAGGAAAACACTTATAAAACAAATGTTTAATCCACAGAAATTACATTTTTTATCATAGTTATTTGCTTTTAAAGATAATGTTCAGTCCTGGATTTGTGAACACTGAATATATTCCAAAGGCAGAATCCTCATATTTTATTTTGTTTTAATCTTCTAAGATTCCTCATTTCCTACTTTTTCTTTATATATTCCTTCAAAAGCAGGTGTTTTTAATTTACCAATGAATTATTACAAGACAACCACCAGAAAATGTATAGGAAATTTAAACTTTTTTTTCCCCAGAGAGTTCTAGAAGAAAATCAAGAACATTATCATGTTGTTCAAAAATTCCTTATCCTGGGAGACATTGATGGTAAGATAAGTTTTACTTTACTTCGTATGTGTTCTTTTTTTTCTTATAGTAATTTTGTAAAAAACTATCAAAATATGCATGACTCACCACATCTTTTAATGTTTATGAATGCCAGCCTATTTAAATACAACTACTTAGTTGTTTTAAAATTTTGAATTTTATTTGATAGTTATTAACTACTAGAATCGTGGTTTAATAACTCAGTAAAAATGTAGTGAATTCTTTTGGTTTTTAACCCTGTTGTTGAAATTTTGCTTTGATAACTTGTAGGTTTGATGGATGAGTTTAGCAGATGGCTTTCCAAAAGCAGAAATAATCTACCTGGACACCTCCTCCGCTTCATGACTCACCTTATTTTGTTTTTCCGCACTCTTGGACTGCAGACCAAAGTAAATAAAAATAATTTTCCCTTTTATGTAAGGCTAATGCCATATACCTGTCATCAGAAAAATACACCGATTCATTTTTGTTGTTTTGAGAAATGGTGATGAGAGTATAAAACTCTTCTCCTTGGTCTCACATGGTCTCTCAAAAACTCGCTGTAGGTGACTCTTCAGACTTCTACATTGTGGCTGCAGAATGTACCTGGTTTTGGTACATTTGGAAGTTTAATACTCATCAGTAACCAACTTTAAGTCAATCAGCTAAGCTAACTGAACCAGACTAAGTCTATACAAAATATTCCTAGAAGATTTTTTGTCATAGTACACATAAAAGACTTAAAATGGTAACACTAGTTGAAAACTTGAGCTCTGGAACAAAAATCCTGGGTTCGAATCTTTACTGTAGCTGCTTGTTACATAATTTGGGGTAAATAAAACCTTACACGTTCCTGCCTATAGAAGAAATATGACAATAATATTAACTGTGCACAAAGAATTGTAAGGTTAAATCAGTCAAAACATGAACTTTGCTAGTCAGGCACACAGTTATTGCTCAATAGTAAATATTTAAATCATTAAATCATTTAATAGAAATTGTATTAGATATATTGCTACACATAAGCAATTGTGTTTGAAATTATATCTTTTTTTTCCTATGAAGGAAGAAGTTTGCATTGAAGTTTTAAAGACATATATACAGGTAAAGTCTGAGGATCTACAAGTTGATTTTCTTATTGACTACTTTAATGAAAAATCAGAATGGTAATATTTTAATGTCCAGTGGTAGGAAGTCATCAGAATTCATAACATAACATAAATGTTCATAAGAACATTTTGAGGGAAATTTAAAATTAAATTGCTTAGTACTACAAACCATGTATGTATAACTACTAGACATGTTTGAAATTCTAAAGTGACATTTTTAAAAGCATTGCTGATTCTAGAACTTGTTTTAAGATTGACATACTTTGATCTTTACTTTTTAGCTTTTAATAAATGAGAAGCATACAAATCTGATAGCATTTTACACCTGTCACTTGCCACAAGATCTAGCAGTGGCCCAGTATGCACTGTTTCTGGAAGGTGTCACAGAATTTGAGCAGCGCCATCATTGTCTGGAACTGGCCAAAGAAGCAGGTAAAAATGACCGAAAATTTCATCTGTGGATTTTGTAAGCAAATTATCATTTTCACTTTAGTAATACTATTCTGACTTGAAATTTTATTTCTCTTGAGGGAAAAAAGGAGTGAAATTCTGTTTTACAAATAAAATTACCTGAACTGTGTAAATTATCTTTTAATTTTGGCATTTTATAATCTTTCATTTTTTTTATAATAGTTTATTTTTACATCATTTTATACATTTTTTTCATCTCAGTTGTAATACCTGTATGTTTCCCATCACCAAGTCACCCATGTGCAATCACCATATTTTATATTTTTAAAGAGTTATCACACACTTTTACCAAATCATTGTGACTAGTTCGAGAATATTGTTGTGAAGAATTAATTCTTGCTTTTGTCTCTTAAAAAAATTATTCTCTAGATTTGGATATTGCAACTATAACAAAAACAGTAGTTGAAAATATTCGAAAGAAAGATAATGGTGAATTCAGTCATCATGACCTGGCGCCAGCCCTGGATACTGGCACTACTGAGGTAATATGGGTCATGGGCGGGTTATTTCTTTCTTGAAATAGTCTGACTTCCATTTTTAAGAAATTTCCTGTCTACCAAAACCTTTTAATTTAAAAGTTGGCAACAAGGTAAGGCCTTATATTAAGATTTCCTTACAGTAATACCATGTTAGAGGAAGTTTCTTTAATAGAGCACTGGATTTTTTGCTCATCAGAGAATTCGTGATACTCGATCAACCACTATTATGTAATTACTCCTATTTTCAGAATGAAAGTTTTACTTAGGAAAAAAAAAGTAGTACTTAAAGGAATCACAGGTTTAATTAGTGTATTATAGAATATGTAATTCCAGATTCACAGTTCAGTAGGTTTTTCTATATTTTACTAGAAGCTTATAGTAAGAATGAAAATAAAGCTATATTCTTTTGTAATTTTGTATAATTTGAAGGAAAATGATGCGCATAGAAGTACAGCTATAATTCTTTCAACTTTAATATCTTAGGGAAAAAAAACAAAATCAGTGTTTCTCTTTTTCTTTAACTGGGTAGGAGGACCGTTTAAAGATTGATGTAATTGACTGGTTGGTGTTTGACCCAGCACAGAGGGCAGAAGCACTAAAGCAAGGCAATGCGATAATGAGGAAATTCTTGGGTATGCTGTATTTTTATGTTTTTTTAAGTGTTCAAATTTGTATATTCTTGAACCTTGTTTTCCTTTCTGTTTTGTTTTTCTAATCTTTCCCAATGGTAAGGGAAACAAAACAATCACTCATAGATCAAAATTGATATTGAGAGATTAAAACATATCTGACAGTGAATTTTCATTTCCTAGTCAATTATGACAAAAGGTAATTGCTTTTTTTTAAGACACAGGAATATATAAAGTAGTTGTATTTAGTGTATTTATGATTATCATATGAAATAAGGAAAAAATTCAACCATGAAGTAGAAAGATCACCATCCACACCTGTAACAGAAGTACCTTGGAACCTGTTACAGCTTACTGTAAAAGTTGCCTACGTTGACTTCTGTAGAAAAACATTACACATATATACACCACCTCAAATCCACATACATACATAATATATATGCCATAAAAAGTTTGTCTTTTTCACAGCATCAAAAAAACACGAAGCTGCAAAAGAAGTATTTGTGAAAATTCCTCAGGATTCCATAGCAGAAATCTATAATCAGTGGGAGGAACAAGGAATGGAAAGTCCACTTCCAGCTGAGGATGATAATGCTATTCGAGAACATTTGTGCATTAGGGCTTATTTGGTAAGTTTCTAAAGAAACCACAAATGTGCCTATCATCATGATGACTTTCTGATCCACTCTCAGACTAACCTTTTTTTCCCAAAAGTGGTAATTGACTCATGATCTTATCTCCTTTGTGACCATGGAACTGACTGATCCACAACTACACTGGAAATCATGACCTTGTCTTCATTAACATGAGCTATTCAATGCCTACCGGCCAAGAATATCTCACATAGTGTGGTGTATATGTTTTCTTAAGTCTTTGAGATCTAGAGTCTTCATATTTCTGCTTTTGGCAATAATAGAAAAATAAGTTACTCTAGATTTGTTACAATACACTTGGTTCAAGATTCATTAAAAAAATAATTACATTGCACTAGGTTCTTAGGCTGAATCTTAGACAGTAGTCTGTTCTTGGCCTGTAGGAGCTTACAGGCTAGTCAAGGAAACAGACAAGGAAGTACATTTATGTCAGAGTGATACGTGAGAAGCAAGACACATGTGATCAGAGTATCAATGTAGAAGTAGGAAACCAAATGTGTGAACCCCTTACTGGTGTTTATTATTTAAAGTATTATTTTAAATAACATTAAATAATATTTAAATATTATTTAAAATTCACAGTGAAGTTTTGTACAAAAAGTGTTGAACAATTTTCTTTCTTGATGCTGCAAAATTATTTCTAAGAGCCAAATGTTTAAAGCTTTACTGAACATATATGAAAACTTACTTATTTTTGTACTTTCTATATTATTGCACAATAGGAAGCTCATGAAACCTTTAATGAGTGGTTTAAGCATATGAATTCAGCTCCACAAAAACCTACTTTGATACCTCAAGCAACTTTTACTGAGAAAGTGGCTCATGAACACAAAGAAAAGAAATACGAGGTGAGTTCAGTACAGACGAGACAGATCATAAATTTTTTTTTTTTTTAAAGATTTATTTATTTGTGCATACAGAACTGGGGTATAGGCCAGAGGTTCAGGAGCGGCGAGAGGCTTCACCAGAGACAGAGTGGGGAACAGAACAGGCAGATCGACGAAGTACACTGCTGAGGGGAGCAGCGGGCGGGTCAGGAGAGGTCTGCCACGCCATGTGGTCCCTTCCGGGGCAGGCGGGAATCGAACTCATGCGGAAGCAGCTTTAGATTCTCAGTGCTGTGCTTTAACCCGCTGTGCCACCACGGAGGGCCAGATCATAAATTTAAAAAGGTTGTTTCTTTAGTAACTATATTACTGTGTAACAGGTGATTGTCTCATTCTACTTTGGGGAATAAACCATACTTTTCTGTAGATAATTCTTCAAAGGTAAAAGATACATTATTGTTTACATTTTTGTTTCATTTGACTGCAATCTATTTGTATTTGCTTGACAGAATCACTCTTTAGAATGATTTTCCATATGTATCTATATTCCTACTTTACAAATACATTATTTGTTGATTCTAGTCCATTATATCTCCACTTTGTTTGTTTTGTAGATGGATTACAATATTTGGAAAGGGCATTTGGATGCTCTAACGGCTGATGTGAAGGAGAAGATGTACAATGTCTTGTTGTTTGTTGATGGAGGGTGGATGGTTGATGTTAGAGAGGTAAAAGAAAAAACTTCCTTCTTGAAAAGTTCTGTCTCTAAATAAGAGTATCTGTAGGTCTTGTATAACCTTTTTACTTATAATTTTAGCCTAAGCTGAAAATACTAATAGAGAATAAGAATGGCTGATGCTTGGGTAAATTATTCTTCGTATTTATCTTCATATTTAGTGTCTATTTATCAGGACACTAAAATGTAATTTTTTTTAATTCTGGAACTAAACATTTTTTAATGTTTAATATTTAATATATGATGATACTCCTATCATCATATTTCCTGGAAAATTATTTTATGTTGTCCATATATCTACTAGTTAATCTGTAGTGTGTACTCACTGGTTTAAGTGAAGTACTGCTTTTTAAAATTTTCAGTGGCTATAAGGTTTAGAAAACTCTTTCACTTGTACCTGTTGCATTTTGCTTTTGATTCAGAACTTAACATTTTTATAAGGATATTTAATTTTAAGTTATTAAAGTGATTTGATCTCTACCTGCAGGATGCTGAAGAAGACCATGAAAGAACACATCAAATGATCTTACTGAGGAAGCTTTGTCTGCCAATGTTGTGTTTTCTTCTTCACACCATATTGCATAGTACTGGTCAGTATCAGGAATGCCTACAGTTGGCAGACATGGTATCCTCTGAGCGACACAAACTGTATCTGGTAAGTTCTAGAGCATTCTAGAGTTTTAAGTTATAATGATTTGATAAGCTCTGTAGTAATATTTAATTTTGTGATATTTGTTTATAATTTTTAGTTGTTCTTAGGTTTTCTCATAGCAATGGTTCACTTCTAATGTTTTGCTTTTCTCCCAAAACATGTTAAGCATGTTAAGCAGTTAGAAGGATAGATGGACTAAGAGAAGTTGCTTTGCAGTTCTAAGCCATGTTAACATAGTTTCTGGATACATGAGTCTTAAAGAGAAATTTTGTATTAATTTCATCAAGTTGAGCAGGAGTCTGAGCAAATGAGTAAGTTCATATTCTTCTTTGTTTTCATTCTTCTCTTTCTTACTTTTTTAAAAATCAGGTATTTTCTAAGGAAGAACTCAAGAAATTGCTACAAAAGTTAAGAGAATCCTCTCTAATGCTCCTGGACCAGGGACTTGATCCATTAGGTTATGAAATACAGTCATAATTTACCTATTCTCTATAATTGCACTAATTTCCATGACAATGGAGTTTTTTTATATAAAATATGTATTTGTAATTATTGGGTGTTTCTTTTGGGTTGGGGAGGCTAAAATTTAGACATTTGAATTTTGTACTTTTTACAATGTAACATTTTGAAAACTTTATGTGTCATACCAGTATTTCCATGTGTTTATTAATAAAATTCCATAAAAATTAAAATTTTGTTTTTATAAATGTCAGGGTAGTCTCTCTCACAAGAAATTAAATTTCCTATTACCCAGCTTTTTTCTTGTGACTATAAGTTCTCTGATATCTTAAAATTATATAGAATGGATATTTTAAAAATTAGTTATATTCCTTATATATCACAAAATTTAGTAATTTTTAAATGTCACAGTTAAGATGAACATGGCAAAAATGTTTTCCAAAGTAATATAATGCCATTTTATTTCTTTATTTTGGAGACATGTCTAGCTTAGCTCAGCAAACCAGCTGCTACAGTAAGTTGGAGCATGTAGAGACTTAACAAAACACCTGTCACACACTAAGTGTTGAGTAAGTTGGAGAATACAAAATGAGTAACATCTGATTCAACCCTTCTAGTAGGGGAACAATAATTTAATGTGACTCTAATAGAAAACATGAGCTAGTCTAGTAACTCCTAAAGCTGGCTAATCATCTGAATGACCTGAGGAGTTTGTTAAATATACATTTAAAAATGCTACCTCTAGAGATGTCTACCCTAGGAAAACAGGAGTAGAATCATAGAATTTGTATAAAATGCCAGAGGTAGGGGAGGAGGAGTGGCTTAAATTAGGAGACTGTATTGGTACTCTGCATCCAAAGCAGACAACTAAGTAGTTGACCTAATTGTTCCCCTCATCTCTTGGGAAGAGGTGTAGATACAATAAACAAGATCTTGAGTTTTTATTTATGCAAGGAAGAGTGATCCAAATTAAATTAGTAATTGATTTTTTTTTCTTAGATATGATACCGGCATTATGATTTAGTAGAAGAGTTAATTCTTAGGAGATAAATGCTTAAATATTTAGAGATGAGAGGTTACAAAATCTGCACTTTGAAATGACTTAACTTTAGAAGTCTACAAAGATATAGCAAGTAAGACAAAATGTTAGCTAGTGAGTCTATATAGAGCAAAGGTGTGTTTATTAGTAGTCTTTCAACTTTTCTGTAGATTTAGTATTTTTCAAAATAAAAGCTTTGGGTAGGGTTAGTAAATTTTGATGGGACACTGAAATATCCATATGGAAAACAGATGAATCTTGATGCAAATGTTATATACCCTTTGTACAATACACAAAAATTAATTAGAAATGGATTGTAAACCTGACTATAAAAGTTAAAACTGTTAAGACTTTTTAGAAAAATGGATGATGCCTTTATGACCCGAAGATAGGCAAAGGTTTCCTAAACCAAAACACAGGAATCAATAATCATAAAGGAAAAAAGTTAATTAAACTTCATCAAAATATAAAGCTGCTGATCAGTGACACCATTAAAAAAATAAATAAACAAATCAAAGACTGAAAGACTGATAAAAAATATTTGCAAAAACATATTCACCCAAAACCCAGAATGCATAAAGAATCTTTACAATTCAGTAATAGGCAAAATGATTGAAATTTACAAAAGTGAACAGATGGTCTGTAAAGGATGGTATAAACACAACCAGTAAGCCCATGAAAAAGTGCTCAAATCAGTGAGGAATGCAAATTAAAGCCATAATGAGCATCATTACACATCCATCAGAATGGCTAGAATCAAAACCAAAAAGACCTAACAATGTTTACAAGGGCACAGAGCAATTGTTATACATTGCCAGGAGCACTATACAATGATCCATTCTTAGGGAAAGTTTTTGACTTTTTTATAAACAGTCACCTACCCTAACCTAGAACTTTGACTCCAGTATATTTGCCCAAGAGAATATATAAAATCTGTCCAAACACTTACCTGTAAGTATTCATAGCATTATTTATATAACCAAAACCTGGAAATGACCCAAATGCCCATCAGTAATAGTAATAGCTAAACAGTAAAGTTTGGTATGTTTATACAAACCATACTATTCAGCAGTGTAAGAAGAACTAACTCATCTCAACAAAAGAATCCAGATACAAATGTGTTAATATGGAGATGTAAAATAGACAAAAATAATTTATTGTGAAAAATAACAGAACAATAACTTCCTCTAGGGGATCAGGTGGATTTTCTGGGGAAGGTTTCAGTGTGATGAAAATGCCCTATATATATATATATATATATATAGCTTGACAGGCGTATGTTACATAAGTTCTTACATTTGTCAAAAATTGTACAGTTCCAACCAAGATTTGTGCACTTGAGTGGATGTGAATTTACTTTCTGTAAATCAAAAGGAGGGGTGGAGAGTGGAAATACGTAAAACAAGAATGGTAGTTTGTGAAATCAGGTAATGGGTTCAGGAGGTTTCACTATTTTAATTTTGGATATTTATGAAATTTTCCACAATAAAAAGTAAGGGGAAATGGGTTGTAAAGTCAGACAAAACTTAGGCTTAAAGTTAATTTTTCTCCATTCTGGCTGCAAGATGTCAGCCACAAACCTCTTTTTTTCCAACATGTAAATGAGAATAAGGGTAATTAAGTTCACATGAAGTAAAGATTAGGGCTTTTGTACTTTGATGAAGGGAGTACAGACAGCAGTTTAACCAATTAGCCTGGTGAGGTAGATTCTACACAATGGAAAATGGTGTAAATACCATCTAGACTCAGGAAGACCTTGAACAACAGGATCGATCAGTAAACAACCCAACAGGCATTTGGAACCCACTAGATTTTTATCTTTTAACTCAAATTTCAGAGCTAAGGTTTTAGCATTTTTTTAATATAAAAGAAATGATTAAAATATAATTTATCCATGCTAAGATTATCAGTACAAATCTATTACTACAAGAAGGCAGTGGAATTGAGTAGACAGTTACAACAGGCTAAAGTCTAGGTCCTTAGTTGGGGAGCAGATGAGGGTAAATGTAAATCACTGATCTGGTGGGGTTCTGTAGATACAAGGTATAAGGGAGGTCAGCACTATAAACTATATAATGGTTTCTCCAATCTATTTGTTAATCGCCATTGTTTTTGGACTCTGAAATACATATCTATACACACAATGGGAAAAAGCACACAGCACACTAAAAATTGACAAATTGCTGTCTGATAAAAAGAAAGGCTATCAGGAAGACCACATTAGGAAAGACTTGGCCTCATTCTATTCATTCTCAAATCTTAGTTCAGTGCCTATTAAACACCTCCCTTCTTCAAGTTTGGATCAGGTTCACAACATTCACAGAACGAAGTTTTGATACTTCAGAATATAACTTATCATGGTCTACAACTATTTAGTACTATTCTTTATTAAGCTCTATAAAAGAAATTGTAATTGTCTGCTCAACTCCACTGCCATTGTCTACCAAGGTCCTGATACAAAGCAGGTGCTCAATGAATTGATGAGTCTAATGTCAAAAAGGAAAGTAAAGCTGTCAATCAAACTGCTTACCAGAGGACTATGACCAAAGCTATTCTCAAAGGAAACTAACAGCTTTACCCCCCCCCCTTTTTTTTTTTTAAGATTTATATATCCACACATACAAGAAGTGGGTTACAGGCCAGAAGTATGTGGGGGAGAGGGGTGAGAGAATGCACCAGAGTGGAAAGCAGAACAGATCTACCAAAATAACACTGTTGCGGAACAGTGGGTGGGTTAGGAGAGGTCTGCCATACCATGTGGGTCATCTCCCTGGCTGAGCTTCGAACTCATGCTGCAGTGGCTGCAGATAGCTTCATAGTGCTGCACTTTCCCATTGCGCCACTAGGGAGGGCCCCCTTTCTATTTTTTTTTTTTTTAAAGATTTATGTATTTGTACATACAGGAGAGGTCTGCCGGGGCCGGGGATCGAACTTGCACTGAAGCGGCTGTGGCTATGCTGCAGTGGCTTGGACTACCTTCATAGTGCTGCACTTTCCCATTGCGCCACTAGGGAGGGCCCCCTTTCTATTTTTTTTTTTTTTAAAGATTTATGTATTTGTACATACAGAACTGGGGTACAGGCCAGAGGCTCAGCAGCGGTGAGAGGCTTCACCACAGACAGAGAGGGGAACAGAACAGGCAGATCGACGAGGTACACTGCTGAGGGGAGCAGCGGGCGGGTCAGGAGAGGTCTGCCGCGCCATGTGGTCTCCTCCGGGGCAG